TTTGTTTTCCTCAGAAAGTTTCAGGACAGAAAATTTCATGGAGGAAAATTCACTGAGGGAGAAGTTAAGCTTTCATTGTGTTGTGAAGTATTTCCTTTTTGCTACTAATACCATTTTGTGGGTAAGTATCTGAGATCTTGTAGCTTGTAGCAAATATGTTCAACAGCTGAACATACAGACTGAAGCAATCTGCAAACGTAAGTGTCCATAACTTGGGAAACCCAGCAATTCTTTGTACAAGATCACTTCTACAACGAGCATTTCTTGTAATATTCGTTCTGCGAAAAAAATATTTGGTTGTTCTATTCATGACGTTGAAACTAATTGTCATGTTCTCAGTAACGCATCGATTAGAGACATCAGCACCCCCCTGGCATATCCGGGGGTTTATGTGACATCATTATTTGATATTGACATAACATGGGAGGGGTAAGGGTTAAAATAGGAAGTTTAAGTAACCACGACGGTGACGCTGAGACCAACTTCGATTAAATAATGACTTTATATTTTATCTACGAATCTCGCGATACTTTTAAGTTATTTACTTTGTTTATCACTATCAAAACTATCACGAAACTGAATCTGAGACATAGCGATAAACTTGACATAAAAATGTAAAAAATTAGCCGTTGTGGTTCTCGTTCTCCAGACAACACAGAATTTGGTCATTTCATGTTGTTGCTTTGTTTAGGACGGTAAAGAAATGTATCAAGAGTTATAACACATGTGCACAGCCATTGTTCTCCTCATTAAATCTTTTGTTTAGCGACGTTCCCATTGTCGTTGCCGTCGTGGTTTTCTTAAACTCCCCAACTGGTCTTGCAAAAGCTAGGGCTGCACAGTGTTTGAAGGTAAAAATAATCTCCTCTTATTTATACGGTTGGACCTGTATATAACAGCCCTGTATTAAACAGCCACCCTCTATTAAGTGGCCAGTTTTCAAAGTCTTGATTTTTCGCTAATACAAACGCTGTATTTGTTACCTGTATTAGGCAGCCACCTCTATTCAGCGGCCGCAGCCACCCTGTAGCGGTCCTATATTTGTCTTTATTCGTTATTCTTATCTGTATAAGGGGCCACCCTGAACGTAGCAACTGTGAAATTGAACATATTAACTATGAAATGATGGAGTGAGATATTTTTGTTCTCGACTGTAAGCCATAGAAATACAGCACTGTATACCGTAGAAGAGTAGAGGACAATTTACATGTATTGCACAGTACATTTACACAATGTTATGTACATTATTAATACCATAAGTTACAAGCTGGCACAGAACTTTGATTGATTGATTGCTTGAAAGAGTCTTGATTGTCCTATTGTTTCCTTGCGTGAAGTATTTTTGTAGATATACCATTAAAGTTGACATTAGACCATGCCCAGTGAGTAGTTTTAGTGATCCTGTATTAAGCGGCCGCCTGTATTAAGCGGCCAGTTCCTTAAGTCCTGAGGGTGGCCGTTATGTACAGGTTCGACTGTATTGTCACAGTGGATGCTGAAAGCAGGCTTTGGTTGCCTGGAGAGAGAGAAGATGTTTAGTTGACCTGTACATAAGATGCAAATAAGTAAATTGCTGGTTGTTGTAAACTTTTATTGCTGAATTTCTTTACTAATGTCTCACCCATTATACCATCGACATGCAGATCATCAGCATAATACTCATTGGAGTGGGAGCCTGGGCACATGATGAAAAGAATGAATATAGTGACCTTGACAGTTTGGCCTTTGACCCTTCCATTCTTCTTATCATTGTTGGCTGTTTGATGTTTGTGGTTACATTTTGTGGCTGTATTGGAGCTCTGAGAGAAAACAAGATCTTACTTTACATAGTGAGTGAAATGCATTTTTACAGTGGAGCCTCATTTTCTTTAAAAAAGTGCCAAACTTGAATGACATCGGATCAATTCAACATTGTGCCAAAGACAGGGATGTAGCTATCAAAACACTAAACTGGCTCAATCAACAAGCTCAG